TTCCACGGCGGCGAAACAAACTAATGCCTTGTTGTTGTTGCTGTTGCTGTTGCTGTCGCTGTTGTTGTGGTTGTTGTTCTTGTTGTTGTTGATTGTGTTTCTGGCTGTTTGCTTGTTTGCTTGTTTGTTTGCTTGTTTCTCTGTTTGTTTGGTTGGTTGTTGTTTCTGCTGCTGCTGTTATTGTTGTTCTTTGTTGTTGTTGCCGCGGTTGTTGTTGTTGTTGCTGTTGTTGTTGCGTGCGTTTCTTGTTGTCTGCTTGTTTGTTTGTTTGTGTGCTTGTTTGTTTGTTTGGTTGTTGTTTTTGCTGTTGTTGTTATTGTTGTTATTGGTGTTCTTTGTTGTTGTTGCCGCGGTTGTTGTTGTTGTTTTTGTTATTGTTGTTGTTGTGCTTGTTGTGCTTGTGCTTGTTGTTGTTTTTTAGTGTGATTGTTGTGGTTGTTGTGGCTGTTGTTGTTGTTTGCTTGTTTTTCGGTTTTCGTGGTTGTTGTGGTTGTTGCGGTTGTTGTGGATGTTGTTGTTGTTGTTGTTGTTGTTGTTGTTGTTGTTGTCGTTGTTGTTGTTGTTGTTGAGGTTGTTGTGGTTGCTGTGGTTGCTGTGGTTGTTCTGGTTGTTGTGGTTGTTGTTGTTGTTGTTGAGGTTGTTGTGGTTGCTCTGGTTGCTGTGGTGGTTGTGGTTGTTGCGGTTGTTGAGGTTGTTGTTGTTGTCGTTGTGGTTGTTGCTGCTGCCGTCGTTGTTGCTTGCTTTTTTGTTGTTTGTTTGTTTGTTTGTTTGTTTATTTGTTTGTTTGTCTGGTTCTTGTTTTTTTGGTTCTTGTTTTCGCTGTTGTTGTTGTTGTTGTTCTTTGTTGTTGTTGTTGCTGTCGTTGCTGTTGGTGTGGTTGTTGTTGTGCTTGTTGTGCTTGTTGTGCTTGTTGTGCTTGTTGTGCTTGTTGTGTTTGTTGTTCTTGTTGTGCTTGCTGTGCTTGTTGTGCTTGCGGTTGTTGTGGTTGTCGTGGTTGTCGTGGTTGTTGCGCTTGTTGTGTTTGTTGTGGTTGTTGTTCTTGCGGTTGCTGTGGTTGTTGTGGTTGTTGCGGTTGTTGTTGTTGTGTTGTTGTTGTTGTTTTTGTTGTTGCTGTTGTTGTTGTTGCTTGCGTTTTTTGTTGTTTGCTTGTTTGTTTGATTGTGTTTTTTTCGCTGTTGTGTTCGCTGTTTTTGTTGTTCTTTGTTGTTGTTGTTGTTGTTGTTGCTGCCGCGGTTGTTGTTGCTGCTGATGTTGTTGCTGTCATGGTTGTTGTTGCTCTTGTTGTGTTTGTTGTTCTTGTTGTTCTTGTGCTTGTTGTGGTTGTCGTGGTTGTTGTTGTTGTCGTTGTTGAGGTTGTTGTGGTTGCTGTGGTTGTTGTGGTTGTTGCGGTTGTTGTTGTGGTGTTGTTGCTGTTTTTGTTGTTGCTGTTGTTGTTGTTGCTTGCGTTTTTTGTTGTTTGCTTGTTTGTTTGTTTGTGTTTTTTCGCTGTTGTGTTCGCTGTTTTTGTTGTTCTTTGTTGTCGTTGTTGCTGCCGCGGTTGTTGTTGCTGCTGATGTTGTTGCTGTCATAGCTGTTGTTGTGGTTGTTGTTGCTCTTGTTGTGCTTGTTGTGCTTGTTGTTGTTGTGCTTGTTGTGGTTGTCGTGGTTGTTTCGCTTGTTGTTGTTGCTGTTGAGGTTGTTGTGGTTGCTGTGGATGGTGTGGTTTTTGTTGAGGTTGTTGTTGTTGTGTTGTTGTTGTTGTTGCTGCTGCTGCTGTTGTTGTTGCTTCTGTTGCTTGCGTTTCTTGATGTTTGCTTGTTTGTTTGTTTGTTTGTTTGTTTGGTTTTTGTTTTCGCTTTTTCTTGTTGTTGTTCTTTGTTGTTGTTGGTGCCGCGGTTGTTGTTGTGTCTGTTATGCTTGTTGCGCTTGTTGTTGTGACTGTTGTGGTTGTCGTGCTTGTTGTGCTTGTTGTTGTTTGGCTTGTTGTGGATGTTGAGGTTGTTGTGCTTGTTGAGGTTGTTGCGCTTGTTGTGGTTGTTGTGGCTGTGGTTGTTGTTGCTTGCTTGTTTATTTGTGTGTTGTTTTTGTTGTTGTTGTTGTTGTTGTTGTTGTTGTTGCTTTTTGTGTTTCTTGTGGTTGTTGTGGTTGTTGAGGTTGTTTTGGTTGCTGTGGTTGTTGTGGTTGCTGTGGTTGTTGTGGTTGTCGGGGTTGTCGGGGTTCTTTGGGTTGTTTCAAATGTTTGGGTTGTGTCAGTTGTTTGGGTTGTTTGGTTGTGTTGTTGTGTTGTTGTGTCGGGGTGTTGCTGTTTTGTTATTTGTTGTTTTGTTGGTTTTGTTGTTGCTGTTGTTGCTGTGCCTGTGCTGTGGGTCTTTTCAATGCTTCCTACAAGGTTTTGACAAGCACAAGGGCGCCTTCGACATTGCTTGCTTGGCACATGCCTTCAAGTTTGTTGAGGCCACCTCAATTTCACCACCCCTGAGATGCACCGTGTGAAGAAGTGCCTTGTTCTTGTCACATCATGACGCGAGATCTGCTGACGCCAGCTTGTGGTATTTTGGCACTGGACAGAACCTGACTTGGGCCAGAGAACAGGCGCTTTCCGTACAATAAACCCAATCGTGCGACCCAACCCAATCGTGCGACCCAACCGTTCTCTGCGTCAAAATGCAACGCGCCGCACTACAACTCCCCGAGCTACAGTCCAATGTCTTGCAGGACATCGCCGCCGCCTTCGTGGCGACGATTCTCAGCTCTGCCGCTTACTGCCAGCGTGCCAACCATGATCACCCAGGCGCCCCTCATGACCCGTCTGTGGAGTCAACTGGCGCATTCGCCAGGACAACAAAACCTCACCCCTGCGACTTAGCGGAAGAACTCCGGTCCTTTAGCCAAGAGCACATACGACGCATGCTTCGGCAAAACAAAGTCGACGACCGCTGGACCCTCATGGCCACTGAAATCGCACAACAAACTGTTACCACTGCCGCACCCCAACCCCATTGTGGCCGCTGCTTTTAGCATGCGCCAAACAGGCTCTGACAGACGCGGCGAAGACTGGCGCAGAAGATGCCACAATCAGACCTGCTCCACGCGCGACAAACCACACCACCACACCCCTGACCACTACACACAGCGCGCGACAAAACACCGACAACACACAGCCATATTATGTGTGGGGCCACGATCGCAATGCCCCTGGCGCAACAAGTAATGGCCCACGTGCTCCTCCTCACGCCAGATGGCCCCACCTTATTGCGCCACCACGTGCTGCTCTTCGGCTCGGCAGCCAGCGTGCGGGGCTACAACCGCTTTGGCGACGCCCTCTCCGCACTAGCGCGTGTGTTGACCCTTGCGCCAGCTCTCCTCACACCAGCTCTCCGCCATGTGGATGACTACGGGCCAGACTCACATATCCGACAGCTCATTCACATCTTTTGAGTGGGCTCAACTCATTGCTGGGCTTTCGCATGAAAGCCTCCAAAGAACACACGCCAGTAACATCGCACAAGATCCAAGGCGTGCCCGTGCAACTTCGTGACAGGGCTGTTGTTTGGGCGAGTGAGGTCAGCCCTGTGCCGCACCTTTGATCAGGTTGACAAGCCAACCCGCACTGCCATGTTGTTTTGTGCTTACTGAACATTCTGCAGACCAGCTCACCGCGAGACCTGACCATCATCTACACAGACGCCTTCAAACGTTTTGGCGTGCCAAGGATGATGGCGGCCAACTGAGCCTACCATCCAACTGGTCACTCGACAATTGTTGGGCAGCTGTGCTTTCACACCCAACTCATCGCACGGCCGGAGCTTTACCTCCGAATCTACTTCAACAAGTCAGCTCTGGCACCAACGCCGTTTACTTCCTCGAAACCTGGGCAGCCCTCGTTGCCCCAGTAATCTTTCGATCGTGGCTCACAGACACATTCTTACAGTTATGCCATCAAGATATGACTTTGGCACTGGAACATGGCTGGCAGGTTCTGCAGCGACCCCGTGCACTCCTTACATAAAAGGACGTGTCGAATCATCGGAGATGTTGAATTCGCCCATACTGTTGGATTTGACGACATAAAGGAACTACAGCAGTTCCACCAACAGCACACCGCCTGAACTCGGCTTGACTTCCATGTCCCGTGAGAGTCTTGTCCTCCGTAAGAAAACCTGCTTTGCAGTAAGGACCTAGTTCTTCTTTGTCTAGGTCGTTCACCTTCGGCTTCACCTTCGACGGGAGTTGACCTGCGACGGGGAACGTCCACTCCCTTTCGACACTTTTCTGTACAACATTTTTGGTTTGCAGGCATTTGCATTTGCTTACCTTATTTCAGTTGTACTTTGCCTTCGAGTCAGTTGTGTCTGTGAGACACCGGCTCCGACTCCAGAGAGAAGCGCTGATCGACCAACAAGTACGATCCCGCCCAATTGAGGCGGTGTGGTGAAAACCCATGGACCGGCTCTCGCTGCTGTCGAGATCTCTGGGTCGGATTGTTGTTGCTGCTGTTGTTCTTTTTGCTGTTGTCGTTGTTGTTTAATGTTGCTTTTGTTGTTTGTTGCTCTGGTTTGTTGTCGTTGTTTGTTTTTGTGTTTTGTGTGTGTGTGTGTTGCGTGTTGTTTGTGTTTTGCGCGCTGTGAGTGTGTGTGTGTGTCTTGTGTGTCTTGTGTGTTGTTCGTTTCCTGTTGCATGTTGCTTGACGCTTATTGCGTGTTGTTTGCTGTTTGTTCTGGTCGTTGCGTCGTCGTCGTTGCCGTCGATATCGTTGTGGTTGTTGTCGTTATCGTTGCTGCTGCTGCCGCTGTGGCTATTGCCGCTGCTGCTGCTGCTGCCGTTGCTGTTGCTGTTGCTGCCGGCGGCGCTGCTGGTGATGATGTTGCTTGTGCGGTTGCGGTTGCTGTTGCTGTTTGCCGTCGTTGTTGCTGCTGCTGTTGATGTTGCTTCTGTCGCTGCTGCTGTTGTTGCTGTTGCTGTTGCTGTTGCTGTTGCTGTTGTTGTTGGTCCACGCGCGTCAGCAAATCTGACGGAATGAGGCGACACGACCGCAAGCGGCTCAGCAGAGACAGCGCCCCCCACGGCTGGAGGACGTTTTGCCTGTTTGCGACAAAGGCGCGCGCCTCCTACTTGTCCAGTGGCACCTGTTTGTTTCTTTGTTGAGCAGCTGCCTCTTGGACCAAGCACCCCAAGTTTTGTGTTTGTTTCTTTTGGCCACTGTAAACGCCTTGATGTCAAATTTGCTCGTCAGGTTTCGGAGCCAGCTGTCAAAATCGGAATGAACGGCTGCTGACTTGAATCCTCATATCAACAAACACATGCCGGGGCTCCAACCGATGATTCGACGTAGAGTTCGAGAGCCTGCTTGGTGGCTCCAAAGATCATGGTCTTACGGCCCAGTAAGGTCTGGGTTGATAAGGTGATAAAGACAGCCAGCTGGAGATCGCATTTTCTCTTTAACAGTTTGGCTTTCGGTCAAAGCGCGCCTGCGAAGAGCAGGTTTGTTTCGTCAACTGGTTGCGATTGCTGAGGCACATGCGTGGTTTGTTGCCTAGTTCATTGTCAATGTTTCCCATGGGCGAAAGGTGGTGGTCGGCTCGCGTGCGATCGCACGAGCTCGAAAGCGGCGGCGTCCGCGTGTGGAAAAGGTCAAGGGGCCGTTCGGATTGCTGCGAACAAGGCAACAATTTGTTTTGCAAAGGACGCGCGCAGGAGAAGTGTTTTGGAAGGTCGCCTGTTCGGGTTGGTGCGCCATTGTGATTTGCGTGTCAGGGGTGGTCGTTTTGAGGTGTCGTGCTTGGTACGCACGCAAGCGCTTGCACGGGCGTCATTTTCGATGCCAGTCGTACAATCGGATCGTGTTGGCAAGCGTGACAGACGTAGCAGCCCTAAGTGCATTGTTTTATGGCCTGTTTGGGTTTTTAAGGCCTGTTCGGAACATGTCGTAGGGCACGGGAGTCACTATTTCTACCCTGCCTGCATTTGGCATTTTGCATTGCAGCTAGTCAATGTAGTGCCACAAGCCGGGTTTTTTTCACTCGCAGCTGACCAGGTGCTGGCTCAGCTCCTGCTTTACTAGAAGCATGTGCAGCTGAAGCAAGTTCTCGCAAGAGCTCCTAGGCGACATCCCACGAAGCATGGGAAAATTGGTTTTCACAGAGTCCTCGACATGAAACTTAGGACGCAGCTTAAAGCTGTGGGAAGAAGCTAAGTGCAGGGAAAGCACACCTGGCAGCCAGCAAAAAACAAACATTTGCTTCACAGCCTGCAGATGGCGTATCTCGCTCTGACCTTCGGGAATCTGAGAAGGATATGTGTCATTTTCTGCAGAAACGGGTAGGTCCAGGCAAGCGTTGTGCGATTGCCCTGACTCCGAGCGTTGCCTTCAAGCGATTCAAGTTGCGGATGTTGGTGCTTTTCGGAATATTGCTCTCGTGACTTCTTTAGCAAGATTACGCATGAGACTTGTTGGTTTCAAGTTTAGTGTCAGGATCACGCAGACCAAATGCACAAAAACCAAGGTCATTCCACTTGACCTGAGAATGCTTCATTAACTTTATTGTGGACTTTAGTATCCATATCTTGGATTTCTGACAGTTCTCGATATAGAGTTATGAAGTCGATCAGAGGCAAGCGCCCGGATCATTGTTATTTTGCATGAGGGGCCAAGGTCTCACAAACTGGTGCGAGTCGTAAAGCGTCCGGTTGTTGCTCACGGATAATGCCCAATACCATCTGACGTCCTTTTGACGTCATGATGTCGAAGCCATTTTGAATATCGATCGGCGTGCCGACCTTCAAACTTGTCAGAGCGCAGCACTGACTAAGGCGGGCGCTGCCTGCGAATACTTCCGAGACATGGATCTTTCCTCTAGTCACGCAGTTCCAATCGGCAAAGTGGTCTTTGCAAGTATGGTCTTCTGTGTAAAGGCCTGTTGATGAAGCTGGTGCTGGTTCTGCGGAGTCTGGTTGATTCTTGGTTGTCTGTTTGTTTATCCGCTTGGCGCGCCGGCCTCCTGCCCTGTCTTGGGCTACTAGATGTTGAAGAAGATCATCCTCGGAGGATGGCAGGTCAAGTCCAGGTGTAGTTGGCGGTTTGGTTTCATCCTTGGTGATGTGGAACCAGATTACTCAAGGTCTATGCCAGCCATAGTGCCATCTGGGGATTACCTTGCCTTGTAGCCACATTCCTCCTTTGGAAGTTTGATCTTTGACTTATCTTCACTCCAGTAGAACACTCTATCGCCAATGGCGATTGGCTTGGAACTTAGGCGCAGGTGTTGCGCGAGATCTCGTCGAACATCTTCTGCTTGTCGGGGAAGTAGTCGAATCTGTCCAGCAGTCAATTGTTCTGGTGTTGCTACGGTCAGTTGGACACGTTCTGCTGGCTCTCGCCGGAGTCCTTCCAGTGTCACGGAGAGGTTTCTTGCGGCTGCCCTTCACGAGTTGCTTGAGGCTGGTGCGATTCCCACCTTGATTGAGTTGAGCGCTAAGGAGACTTGTCTCTTGATGAGACGGACTACTGTCTCAGCTTGGTTCGGCCAAGGTGTCATGGGACCTAGGTCTCTCAGTTCTCCGTCATGAGCGCTTGGTCTCCAACAACACACGTTGGCTGAAGATGATATTGATAAAAGTAGTTCTATTGGTGACATCAGTTGGTTAGAAGTGTAGTGGCTCCGTCAAGGATCAAGTGATGCTGTTGGAGGTGGAGTTTTCTTAGTTCCTCTGGTGTTGACAGTCGTACGTGAATACGTTTGAGTTGCAAGTGGCACTGTAGCATGTGGAGTGTTTGCCGATGGCTCAGCGGCAGCCGGATCTCTTGGCTCAGCGGCATGCCGGCCTAGTGCTGTAGTGCTGGTATGATCATGTCTGCTGGTTTGTCGATGTGAAGGTGCGAACAGTGATCTCCTCTTGGACACATGATATCCAGTGGTCGTTGTTGGTGTGTCCAATGATTTCCGCTATCTCTGCGCCGGCGCCGGTGCTGGAATTGCAAGAGATGGGTTGTCGAACCATACCGAATGCCTTGCATGTAGCCTTGTCACATCGAGGAGTATTTTAAAGCGTGATGCGGAGGGTCCGCATCTGTTCAATACGGAGCAAAATCGGATACCAATATTGGTCACCATACATAGGTGGCGAAGTATTGGAAAACAGTCGGGGAGCCCAGTCAACCCTGGAGGTTTGACCGTTGGCAAATGTGAACCTTGTGTTGCGGGATATACTCGTACTTCATCCGGCAAGGATATGGTTCAATTGCCTTAATGAATAGCAACTGCCCATGGACTTCGCGCAGCCGTTGTGACGAATGACATGGGCTGGATTTTCGGCCTGCCGCCATGAGTTTCCCGGCCGAAGCTTGAGCTTGATTTGGTGTCGCGTGCGGAATCATGTCGTAGTTCAGGCCGTTTTGGATGACCCTACTTCTACCAGCGTCGACTTCTACGGTTGATTCGGCTAGATACGGCCTGTAACCATGGTTTTGGTTCCTTTCACGGATCTACAGGTCCACTCTGAGGACATCCGTAAGGCTCTGCCGATTTGTCGACAGGAGGCCGTGTGGCTTCCAGGGCATCGGCGCGGCGACCCACGGCAAAGGCTTGTTTTTTCTTATCTTTGTCGTCGTTGCCGGCATCCTTTCCTTTATCCTCGGATTTGCTGTAGAGTTTGCTTTTCCCTGCTTTTCTTGTCCCAATAGGTTTGATCGGTGGTGGAATCATCGGCCATGTTGGCCTTGCCGCGGGCTCTTCAGCACTTGCCCTTGCCTTTTCTGCTGTTTCGCCCCTTGCCGGACTTGATTGAGAGTCCAACGTTGGATCTTTGCTGCTCCTTCGTCATTTCCTTGCGCAAGGATGAAGAAGGTCTTGCATCTACTTGCGCCGTTAGGACGGATGTTCGGATCCTGAAGAGAGGTTGTGATGAAGAGGTCGTAGTACTGGGCCTCACTGATCTCAAAACTATACTCAGGGAGCCGGATGCTGTTGACAGTCAAGATTTGTGTCAGAATGTTGTTTGACAGTGGAAAAGCCTGAGCCTGTGCCTGTGAATGCTTTTCCGGGAGTGTCCGAGTCTCGTGCGTTATCTAACTCGCGTCATTGGTCGCCTGAATATACTCAGGGCTTGTCCGGGTGAATTCGGGAGCTGTATCTTCCCAAGATGCTCGCGATCTTCGTTTGGAGAATCTCGATTTTTTTGAGAAAGGTCAGCAGTTCTTTGTCGTCCCGGCGATGATTGCAGAAACTGAGGAACCTGTAAAGCGCCCTTCAAGAAATATCCGCAAAGAAAGTTGAGAAAGTTGTTGGAACTATGAGTTTCTCGTTGTCTAAGAGATCGCGCGGTATCTTGCTGCATCTTGTACGAGACTGTTATTGAGAAGCGGGCCTTGTCGCGCAGGTGCAGGTTCTATAACCGTGAATGTAATCCAGTCCCGTACCAGACCTTCATAGCGAAGCCAACTAACACGGCCGTTGCACGATGGAGGCAACTTTGCGTTCATCGAAACGTTACTGTAATGGTCTCTTCATGGGAACTAGCCGCTGCGGGTGGTTCAGTTCCATAGAAGTCCTCTGCGCTACTTCGGAGAACCTGCTCTGCCTGCAAAGAAAGGGGCCCAAGTGGCCCCGGCACGAACACCTCGTAGCTCCCTGGTGGATCTACTCCGATGCAGAACGCACATAGTTGTGTAAGAGGTAAATGGCGAGTATGTATGTAAGCAATGTTTGGTTCCAATGAAACAAGTTATGCAACATGGGCTCGCAAAAAGTTATGCAGTTATAGTCCACTATATCAGTTAGCAGCAGTTAACTTGACTTATCGTTTTCTTATTTTAGTTAATTTAGTTATTTTAGTTAGCCGAAATTTGGGCATTTCTGCCAAACGTGTGCTAGCTTGAAAAAGCTGCGAAAAATGAGTGTTGAAGCAAAAATGCTTTTTCGCGCGTAAATGATGACGTTTATATATGATTGTTTTGAGTTTTGTTGGAGTGTGTACAGTTCGTGTTACTGCGCGGCTGAGCCGCGCATGTCGGCAGTAGAAAATGCTTGCTTTATAATAATTATAGATTTTTTATTTACATCAGTTTACATAAATA